CAGATGCAAGATTTCAGCATCACGATGCTGTCCAACTGATCTCACCAGCCCTTTTATAATACCTTAAGCCTGACAATGCATTGCGCATTTTGAAGAATGCCATTTGGAGCTGACTTCTGAGTATCCAACCAGTCTTCGTTTCAGTTTTTAGAATTATGTTTTTCGTTATTTCCAGAATTTTCATGCTATGTCAGTAATTTGTGCAACATTTTTAGGTAGGCCTAAGAAAAGAGAGTGATGTGTGTATGTTCTCTTTTTCTATTCCTTTCCTTTCTTGCTTTCTGTATAGTACTTTTTATTTTATTTATTTGTTTTCTGATTTTATTTCTTTGGACATTTACCTTTCGTATATTCCTTTTTTAACCTCGTCTATGTTCACTTATACACTTGGGTATGGTAATATGTCTGCAGATAAGTAACTCAAGTTTCAAATCTGTTTACAGTATCCCACAAATTCTGTTGTTTGTTATTCATAGCAAGGATAAGATGGCAACTGGAGCTGGACTTGAGTCTCTTGTTGATCGTAAGCATTCTATCCTACTCGAATACATATCATTTTTATTTGAATTATTTGTTGATTTCTCAGTTTTATGGTGATCTAGAATGCAGTCATTCTGACTATAAAGTATAATCTACACGGTTGTCATAGTTATCGCTGGCAATCTTCATAGACTTAGGAATTGTTGCTACACCTGAAAAATTAAGCTGAAGGTGATTTACTTATTTTGGCAAATATGAAAATAATGGATTGAATTCTGACTATAAGAAATTCTACAGAAAACTGAAACACCTCCTTTGTGTTGAAACTAAGAGAGATTTTGAGGGAGAAACTTCTCCATTTTCATTTCAGTTATTCAAGCTTAGAAAAAGAAGTACATACAGTAGGGCCGTCTTATGTATACGTACACATGCAACCAACAAAGAAACGGCGTGATAATGATTGCTTAGACGATGTCGTTTGAACTTACAGACAGACTAAAAGAAACGTGTGTCTAAGAACACATTTTCTACAGATAAAGCAAAAGAAACAAGAATAACAGAAATTCAAAACATAAAATGAGCAACTCTACGCCACACTTCAACACTTTGCAACCCTGACTTGCGTGTTTTGTGAGAACATTACAATCATTTGTGCAACTTTTCGGTACATCAAAATCATCTCCAATGCTTGGGTTTATTTGTTGATCTCCAAATAGGTGAACCACATAGTGCCTCCCTTTTTTGACCGCAATATTAATCTTTTAAACATATATGGAGCAGTAGTTCTAACAAATAAATAGCATAAAATTTTTTCTTTAAAAAAAGGATAAATAAAAGAGTTGGTCCTTTTTAATATTAATTTTTTCAACCCATATCATTTTTTATGGGCCAGTGAACTATGTTCTTATAGATACCATGTTAATATACTAGGAGCATATGAACTACTTGTCATATTGTGTGAGGGAGCTTAACCTGACATATTTAGTCTTGTCTCTACCTCTAATAACCTTCATATGTTTTTGGCATGTGAGCTTTCCCATTATTAACCACTTTCCATGGTTTTGATGTTGTCAGAAACAATTTCAATCATCACAAATGACGGGCGAAATATTGTGGTGAGCTTCATTTTTGGGCCAAACTAGCAATAAACTTTGTAGGTAGGTTTTGTCTTAGAAATGATCATTTGTGCAGGGTGTCCTGAAAGGTTTTGATCAGGCTACCAACATAATTCTTGATGAATCCCATGAACGAGTGTACTCCACCAAGGTACATTATTCTTATAAGTATCAAATTAATGAACATGGCTTTATGCCATTGTGTTCTACAGACTGATTTTGTTTTTTCATTTGTTTCAACCTTCTTTTCTACCTGTAGAACATAGCTCTCGACTTGACATCAGGGGCGGAGCTATATATAGACCAGTGTGGGCCTAGGCCCACACTGAAAAAATAAAAATTATTATGAATTAGGTACAACTATAACTCAAAAAATAGCTTTATATCCCATTAGAAAATAAAAAATACAAATTAAGAACAATACTTGCATGAACACAATAAAAAAATAAAAAATAAAATAATGAAATGAAAAGAGAGAAATAATGGTGAAAAAAATCCTTGTTCTTAGCAATTTTGATGAAATTGATTTTAACCTTTTTTTTTTATCGAACTTGTAAGAAAATTTACACACTTATTGTACTTTTTAGCACTCTTCTGGTTAATTGATTGTTGCTTCTTAATTATTGAAAAAAATATCATCTACTATAATTTGTGTGTGGTTAATCACTTAAATTGTAGGCTCTTAAAAGTTTTATATATTAGTCAATCATTTTATACATTATGGTTTTTTTAAATATTATAATTTATTTAATTTTACATTAATTATAGAGAAATATTTGTGCAATATGTCTCAAAAAGAAAAATTCACATTAAATATTTTAAAATGAGATACTTTAATTCCAAATATACCTGAGGCGAATTCTAATGTTGTTAGACTTTGTCCAAAAGAAAGTGCGATAAAAAAATTCAACGATGTTATTATAGGACGATGTTGAGTTTAATATGAAAACTCATAACTATATTATAAATGTGTGTTTTGTACTCATACTTTTATTATAGTATAATTTTTTTTCCAAATAACGATTAGGCCCCCACTCATTCTATTTGGTAGATTCGCCCATGCTTGACATTGTACCCAACTGGGTAGTTTATAACATTCAGCAAGTTCAATTTTGTTCTACTTATTGCATTCTTGCATGCATATTGTAAAATTTGTTAATAGTATCGAAAACAAGGTGACAGCTAGCCAAATAAAGTATTTTTGTGTCATGATAGTTTATTTTTGCTTTTGTGTTGGTACCTTGACATATTGATTCTGGGCTTCATATGAAAATTTTGAGAAAATAAAGTTAGCACAAGTTTTGCAAGTCCTACATAATGAAGCCCTAAGAAATTGCTATGAGCGAATATAAAATCTCAGAAAAAGTTCCTCTTCAAATGGTTTTCATTGTAAAGAGACCAAATTGAAGGACATATTTTCAGCAATTGATCTTGGTAAAAAGAAAAAAAAAAAAGAGAGAGAGACACGCACACTGTTTTTCTTTTTCTATTAGACATTCAATGGGTTTTTGATGCAAAATTCATAAACGTCTCAGAATTCAGGAGCAACAAAATTTCAGTTTAATATAGTAAATTCATTTCTGGCAGGAAGGTGTACAGCAGCTTGTGTTGGGCCTCTACATCATAAGGGGTGATAACATGTATGATCGCCTGCATCTATTGCAACCCTGAATGCATTATTCACCCGATTTGTTATTGGTATCTCTTTTAGTGTTACTTTACTAGCTATGAATTCAATTTTGTTCATTATTTTTTACTTCTGCAGAAGCATAGTCGGGGAGTTGGATGAAGAGCTAGATGCAAGCTTGGACTTGTCAAATCTCAGAGCTCACCCTTTGAAGCCAGTCATCCACTGATATGTCCAATTTTGAAAAGCTTATGTAAAACAGTTGAGATTGAATGTTATTAAACAAATGTAACAAGCTAGAATAGTGGGGAAAGCAAGAGGCCGTGAATTAACACTACAGAGATAGTCACTGCCCGATGCCTGAGATGAAGGATATTTTCGTTAAATACATTTTCTTTTGTTTTGTTTCCCACAAGGTGTTCCATCGAAATGCAATTTTATATTGTCCCAAAAGGTGTTAGACGTGTAGAAGAGAGTTTACATTTCTATGATAGGTTATTGTGTATTGGCTTCATGTGTTAACAAACTAACTGGAGTTGTGTAAAATCTGCACAAGAATTTTACATTCGATCACATATCAGATACAAGATGACAGAAGCGAAATCCACCGTCATGGTTCATAATTGCTATCAATATCTGTTCGAATGTGATTACAACATTGGGCATAGGACTGAAATACAGACTGGAAAAAACAAAAGCAGATGCAACATGGATAATGTACTCAAAATCCCAAAGCAACTCCCACACCCAGGAGATATCAAACCTAACATAGCATAATCTTATAGAATAAGCATTAAAAGTAACACCTCAATTGTTGAGATTAAGATAGTTCACCAGGCATGAAGAAATGAAACACTATCGTTTATCACGCTCCTCGTCTTCTCTTGATTCTTTCAAGGGCACCAAGATGCCCATCATTGTCTTTGTTCTGTGAAACACCTTCAGCATCACCATCATCAGGCCCATCCCTCTTTCGAGCCAAACCACCAAATACAGCACTAGGCACATCTTTCTGAGCAATCTCAACCTTCCCATCACCATCATCTTCCGAATCACTATCGTCTGGTAGCTCAATATCCTCCTTATTGGCTGTTGTGGTCTCTCCAGCATTCTGCACACCAGCACTCACAAACCCTAACCTTCGACCAGTTTCGTTTGTCGTGGTGCCGTTAGTAGAGGGCACTAATTTCCTTTCAAGAGCTTCCATCTCGTCGTCAGGTACACCTGCTTTCTTCAGCACATCTTTGGCTTCTTCCAGAGTTTGCAGCTGATCCTTTTGCATTAAATACTCTGGAAGGATAGAGTGTGTCTGGAAGAAACAGAACGAGTTAGCGTTCGTTGACCAGGGAAACAATACAGTGGCACAATAATACAGTGGCACAATACAAAGCTTAAGCATTAAGGGTAAATTACATAAACTACTTTTGGTTGTCTGATTAATAAAATTCCAATATTCTTTCCAAATTAGAAATATCAGCCAAGTTACAAAATCCTTTGAGATTTGAATGTTTTTAACAAAGTTCCCCACTAAGGTAGCATTTTGTTACGGAAACAAGATCAATATGGTGCTTATGATTTTGAAGAATGTTATTTCTTTTAGTATTCAGAGTCCTTAAACAAGTTTCTGGATGAGCAAAATCAGTCACAATTCTTACTTGGCTGTAACTGGCTGAAATAGTTCTTTTCATTCGGAGCATCTCTCTGAAAGTATCTTCATTTCCATGTTGCACTTCAAACTCATGCCATGTATTCCAAAAATCAGGATCGGTTCTTGGGTCTGCAAAACTGGAGGCATACTTATATAGTGCACGGCTTCGGTCAATTTCACCAAGGCTCTTTTCAAGTTCAGCATATTTCAGACACATGAGTTTCACATCCTTGTCCGGAAGGCCAGAACGTATAGCTTGCTCATAAATCTCCCTAGTTTTTGGAACACCAAATATTTCAGCAGCCCGCGCAATATATAATTCATACATCCCCAATCTCTCATTATCTAATACAGCTTTTGTCGCCTTATCATATATTTCCATTGCATTTTTAGCCAGACCAAAGTCTTCCTCCAGCTTTGCATACTGAAGATAGATAGGTTTCACAAATTCTGCTGGGGTCTAATCGAAGCCCAAAAAAAAAAAAAAAGTCGAGTCAGCATCTTAATAGGACTAAATTCGAAAAGAGTGCAAAGAACTGTGAATCATAAAGGTGAAAGCATGACTATGCTTAACAACAATGTTATTCATGTAAAAGTAAATAGATAGGTCAAAGTTTCATGATGTTGCTAATGAAATTTACTGCTTTAACATCAAAATAAGATAGGCAGGCCACATAGTCAATAAGAGGAAGGAGGACCATACGAGTTAAAGTGAAAGTCTCTACACAAACTCAACAGGCAAATGAATCAAAATTTCAGTGGTTTACGAGCATATTATTCAGATGAACAAATTCAGAACACTAACTTTTTTATGCTTCGAGCTGAATGCGACACATCAAACAGAAACCATAGTCCGAAAATAAAGAAAAAGAAAAATGAAACAGAATTGCTTCGTTAAGTATATCAAGTCCCATATAGCTCATGAAGAACAATATATGGTTCATACACATCAAAGGAACCTCATTCATTCAAAACCCTAGGTTTGTAACATGGTATCAGAGCCACGGCTCACACAAATTGGGTAATTTTCTGATCTCACCTCCTGCACCAATTGTCGCTGCTCCAAGATCGACTTTCCGATCAATTTCCGTTGCCAGATCCGCGCATGTGGGTCCCACGCGCCGCCACAGTTCTTGCAAGCAAATCTCACGCGCCGGCGCGTGAGGGTGAGTACGTCGCTGGAATTTTTTCCGAAAAACTTTCATCTGACTCAGAAAAATTGGTCTTGTTACCGGTGATCTTAGTCTTCTGTTTTTGGAGGTTTTCAGAGTCTGTTTTGGCTTTTTATAGATCAGCCTGTGGCTAGCACTCGTGAATTCCAATCCAACCCGACACACGACAATTTCTGTTTTTTGTCGTCACTCGTCCGTCATGTGGTCCTACGTTGTCTGTCGCAACCGCTTCATTCATATTTTATCGCGGCTTTTCACTGCTCGCTCCATACGTCGCTATTGCTGCTCACTTCATACGTCGTTGTTCTCCTACCGTCTGCCCATCGCGAAGGAACACTTGTTGTCATACGCAGTCGAATCATGTGGTAACTCAATGCAATTGCGATCAATATCATCCTTGATGATCACTCTTGATGGTCAGAATTATCGGGAGTGGGCTTTTTATGTGAAAACTGTATCGAGGGGTTATGATGATGGACCCGAACGAAAGTCCTACTAACCCACTCACACTTGAGTGATGATGGACCCGAATGAAAGGCCTACTAACATCAAGCAGATTAATAATGGGAAATTGACCGTTGACATCGTCAATAGTGTCGAGCCATGTTTATGATTATGAGTATTTCTTCTTTTTCGACAATATGAGTATTTCATCTTTTTGGACAACCAAGGCAATGTAATCCTATTTGCAACACTACAATCAGGATAGTGGTGCACTCCTCCACACTTATGCAATAAATTCATGTGATTATCTGAACGATATGTCCATTGATGAGACTATTCTGCTTTTTAATCGTTTGATTAGACCATTGATTTCCATGATACATAAGAAGAGGAGTGTTCAGCACATACATTTCTTCGGAATTCTTTATATTTCGCTTTGTCATAGGAGTACAAACTGAATTTGAGCCCATTCATACACGGTCGCTTCATAACTCTTCCACTCTAACCATGGCACAAACGTTACATGATTGATTGCTGACGAGACTCATCATCATTCTATGTCAATTGCTTCTATGCTAGCATCTCACATCTCATAATGTAATTCTGCTCAACGGTTAGTACGCCCAAAAGTGGTTCTTTAGAAACTTGTAAGCATTGCGGGAAGACATGTCATGGCGTTGAAATTGTTCTTCTTAGCATCTAGAAAAGTAGGCTGAGTGTCGTGTTGCTCGAGCCCGTAGTAAGACTCGTGCTACAAAGGGATCAATGCTCCTCCGTCTTTGGTCCTCCTCAATTCAGGGGCATCTTTCATGTGTGACATCTTTTCATGTAGCATCTGATATGTCCCTTGGTTGCCTACGGTCACTGATGGTATATCTTGTCATAACATTTCTCTATGCAATTCAACTTTTCAATATTCAATTGGTCAGGTCGCTAATCAAAACATTTTTGTTGGATTTGATGACTAATCTTGTTTTATTCACACTGACCACCAGCGTTTAAGTTCTCCAAGTCCACATTATTAACACTTTACATCTTCCCTCTTCCCTTCCGTTGCTTCTCTTGCTCGCTCATGTGTCATCTGTTGATTCGTCTTACACCTCATCTTTCATCAAGTGGCATCACCTATGTGTGTCTCGTTTGTTTACTTCGTTGATTAATAATTGTTGTTTAGGTCATACATGGATGAGTCTAGTTTTCATTGCAAGAGTTGCACTTTGTCTAACAATTTTTGTTAAGTTTTTAACCTCTGAGGGTACTCTTCGCCAACCCTCATGTCATGGTCCACATGCTCTTATGAAAGAAAACACCGCCATGTCATTGAGACCATCTTTAGTTCATTCTCATTTTTTGGGGAGAGTTGTGTACAACTATTTATCTTATCAATGGAAAACCGTCGTCTGTTGGCGAGATACGCTTTACTTCCCCTAGCTATGATCATCTTCGAGTTTTCAGATGTATATATGTTTTGTTTGCTCCTCATGAGAGAACTAAACCGACTGATTAGTCGGGTTGAGTGTGTTTATGGGGTATAGTCCTGAGCATAAAGGTTGTCGTTATTATTCTTTCTCTCGTCGCATACATTATCTCGTGATGTAAGATTTGTCGAAGACCGTCCTTTCAACACCAAACATCTTCTACAGAGTGTACGTCCTTATATCTTCCTCCAATTTCCTTTATTGATAATGTCCTACCTCTTCATTGTCTTTCTTAGTCCTAACCACTCATGATGAGCGTACACTACTTATTGGGACGAGCCTCCACTATAGAACCAACCTATCGCAAAAGTCTACTCGTCTCCCAAATGTCACACAAGCTTTCACCTCATTCTACTGCTTCGGCCAGTCTGCTCTTGTACTTGATTATTGATGATTTCGATGTGCCACATGCTATTCTAGGAGTCTCAAGTTAGTCAAGTTAGTCAGAGATAATATAATTTATGTGATCGAGCTACTATTGAGGCTGAAGCTGCATTTTCCACGTGCGAGTGGTATTATAGACGAGCATCAACTTATCTAGAAGCTTCTAGTATCCCGCAATGGCAGGGAGCTTGTTGTGCACTTGATTGTACTGACACATGAATCTTGTTCCATTACAATCACGTGTCGTACCCATCACCTTTAAGATGACCAAGCCGGATGGTTCTATTGAGAAATAAAAAGCTCATCTTCTCGCTAGAGGCTTTCAACAGATTCATGGACGAGTTTATGATGAGACTTTTCTCGTTTTGCTCATATCACCATTGTCCGTACTTGCAGTGGTTGCTACTCGTTCTTGGACCATATCTCATATAGATGTGAATGTTTGTTTTCCTCCATGGTGATTTGTATGATGTTTTATGCAGCCACTATTAGGTGTTGATGCCCCCTCCGTCTTCTTTGTCGCGCTATAGTCTCAGGCCACGTGCTTGATTTGACCGTTTCTCTGTTTTTCCCTAATGATCTTAATGATCATGATCATGATCATGCCATGTTTATTCATCTCTCCACGTGGACGTACTCTACTAACGTCTATATGTTGATAATATGTTGATTAAGAGAGATGATGCATTTTTCATTTCAGGAAGCAACTAGGTCCACAATTTCAAATGTTTGATTTAGGTTTTAGGTCATTTATTTACTCAAATGTTTGATTTAGGTTTTAGATCATTTATCTACTTCTTTGGCATTGAGGTGATGTACTATGACTCGGGCTATTACCTTTTCAGTCCAGATATATACACGATTTTATTCGTTACTCATAATGGACAACTACTACACCAAAGGATCTTCACTTACAGTTTCAGTTTCATCCTACACTTCCTTAGGATCCATCTCGATATTGGCATATTGTGGGCAGTCTGGTTTATCTTAGTAACAGGTCTTGACATATATATTAAGTGAGTTTGTAAGTGCTCCTCCTTCGGTTCATTTTGGGCATTTGCTTCGTGTTACAGGGAGACATCATCTCAGTGTTTTGCTTTGTGCTCTTCATTGTCCACTTTAGCTTCAAACTTACACAGACTCTACTTGTGCAATTAACACAAATTATTACATTTTTCTTGCTTCTGCTCTTATATGGAAGTCCAAGAAGTAGATATCTGTATCTCGGTCTAACACAAAGGCAAAACTTAGAGCACGCTAACCACTTTAGAAATTATATAGCTTTGATGGTTGTTAGCTGGTTTTGGAATTCTATGTGATGCTCCTACACCTTTTCTTTTCTTTGTGATAATACAGTAGCCATACAAATTGCCAAGATCTGCTTTATGAACTTACAAACAATTGAACTTACAACCTTACAAACTACATTGGGGTCGATGTTTCCTTTACTCGGTCTACTGTGCCCTTAGAATGCTAGTGTCTGCCCTTAGAGTGCTAGTGTCAGATTTCTTTACCAAAGCACAAACTACATATAACATCATATGTCAGATTTCTTTACCAAAGCACAACCTACATAACATGATCGGGTTCACTTGCTCAAACTCAATGCTTCGAATCCACCCCTCGACCTTGAGTTTGAAGGGGTGAAGGGGGGTCAAGTATATCAAGGCCCATACATCACACGTCCATATAGCTCATATAGCTCATGAAGAACTCTCTATATATGGTCATACACAAAGAAACCTCATTCATTCAAAAACCAAGTTGCTACACTTGCCCAATAAGTGTGAGGTCAACATGCAACAAGTCTTAAGAAAAAGTTGCTTCTTTTTGTTTACTTTTTAAAAGTTTGTGCTACAATGGTTTAAAGTTGGTTTTAAAGTGGGGGTTGAAATTAATTATATTTGTAAGCTTCACAATCACTAAAAGAATTGCAAAATCAATGTACATGGTACATAACAGTATATCTCAAGTTATAAAATGCATCCATTGCACTAATGCACTTGTGATTTACAATAAAGAAACATGGTTAAACACAAAATGTAATCTCAAACTATGAAAACAAACAGAAAGAGATGATACAAAAAAGAATGTCCCTAAGATGTTTGGATCCTTCAAATTAACTCCATCCAACTAAAACATATAACCATCAAATTATAGAAGTTCCGAACATATATTACTATGAAAAAGAATAGTGAACAAATTACCATACCTTTTGAACTGCAACTCTGAAAACCTCCCGAACACGATCCAGCTTTGACTTTGCGTATCTCGTAACAAGCTTTCTTAGATAAGTGACCCAGATATCTTTGGCATGTGGGTATTTAAATATCTCAGTGCCTCTCTCATAAACTTTAAACGCATCTTCAAAATATTTGTTTTCCTGCACAACAGCAGAAGAAAGATAAGTTATCCCACCGTCAAATCATATTTCAGAAACTAGAAACTACGGTACAGGAGGGAACAATTGTATCACAGGATCCGCTACTTACCTCTAAAAGAAAAGCATAGTTAATTATAATCTGTGGTGTGGCTATCTTTAAGTCCAGAATTCGTTCATATACAGCACGAGTCGAATCCAAATTGCTTAGGCTTTCCACCAAATCGACATAAAATGTCCACAGCCTAAGGGATTTATGAGCTATCATCTGAACAGGTGGAATGCCACCAGCAGCCACTGTAGAAAAGAGGAAATGGTACAAATATAAGGGTAATCACATCACTTAACTGGAAGAAAACGGATACCACTTCCTCATCTGATTTTTCCCTCCCAACATCCATGTATCAGACAAAGCTGATATTGTTGCTCCAGTGATAAGCCAATAAATATAACTTTGCTGAAAACCCTTTTAACACAATCTATATTAATAATCTCTTGTCTTTAGCAAATGCATTAGGTAGCCAAAACAATAATTATCAGACAGAATGTGTGTGATCGAATGCAATGAAAAGAACTTCAAAATAAGTTTTAGAAGCACACAAGAACACAGAGGAATCATGACAAAATGGACTACGAGAGGAAAACTTAAACGGCATATTCGAAGATGAACGAACCTACTAACAACATTTCATGGCAATATTACTTCACAGTTGGAGTGACGCTTAATCACAAGTAAAAAACCTGAAACATCTATCAGCTTTTGTTATAATCGCACTATATTATCTGTAAGCACAATTGATAAAAATTGAAAAACACACACATAAATATGTGCACATACACTAAATTTTCAGAGGATTCATCGAGAAAGCATTGGCATCAGTTTCCAACTTTTTAGGAGACGAACCAGGCATTTTTATTCCGTACACACGCATTGTTAACCATGTAGGAGTCTAAGATGTAGTGTTGCATCATACATATGGACGTTCCCAAGACAAAATATTATATGAAACTGTGATTACTTGAGAAGGATTTGATGTTACTCCTGAGAGAAGTGCTGAAGACATGAATAAGTTTGACGACCACAATTGACAACAAATATACGATAATATACACAAAAGTAAAAGCATATAAATAAAACCAACTCAAATCGTGATACTAATGCAAAAGAGAAGTTTTAGATTTTTCATTATGCAGATATTGCTGTATGAAAATGACAAAATCTCGTATATTTAGGCATAGATTCAGGAGATCAAAATTACCAAAAAGTACACATCGTGATTTTCTCGGAAGGTCAAAATAGTAGGGATGTTCAGTCCATTATATTCATAGTTATATCATACAAAGTACAAACCACTACTCCAATAAATAATTATACCCACCAATATCAAAACTTCAAAAAATAGCAGATAAGAGTACAAGGAGCATAAAGTACAGGTACAAACACACACCTCTCTTCTTCACCTCAACCGATGGCTCTGCAGTGGCACGACGCATCAATTCCAATGCGCCGTTAAAATTGAGGTGCCTCAACTCCATCTCCGCCCACTGGCACCAAACACTGGCAAGATGGTCCACTGCCTTATAGTTAACCTGCACAGCCTTGTCAAAAATGACCCGAGCATTTGAGACATCCTTGTGGTTCTCGTATAACTTGGCAAATGCCACCCACAGAGTATGTGGTTTCCCAACGGCCTTCATGGGGTCCACTGTCCTCACAGCTTCCGTGTATGTCAGAATTTGCTTTGTTGGATTCTGTTCAAAAAGCTTCACTCGACGATGCCATTGCTCTACATTATGAGGATTTTGCCTCAAAAGCACGCTATTAGCCAGCTCTGGCCTTCTATCCATCAAATACTCTAGTCTTGCCAGCCTCAAATCCACATCGTTTTCATCCGTCAACCAAAATTTGTCAATCTTCTTCCTCAACTTGTCGATATCAAGCCTATCATCCTCCTCTTCTTCCTCCTCCGCATCATCTCCATTCTCACTGTCATCGTTTTCGCTGTCATCCAAAGATTCCATCTTAATTGATAGCATACTCTCCTCAAACTGTGAGTATGCATCAAAAATCACGCTAAAATCCCTTACAGTTATAACAGTCGTCATCCCTTCCTCAAAAATATCCCGGGCCTTCTCCAGCAAACCTCTCCTTATATAATAATCGGCTAAAGATGTCCATAGCCTACCAACCTCATCTGTGAACTTCCGAATCCCGCCTCGGATTATGGCGTCCACATTCAATCCCGAGATCTCGCTAGCATGCTGTGTCAGCAAATCACACAATTCCAACCACAGTCTGTGCTTTGTCTTCCCCTTAATTGAGTAAAACCGGTCGTCATTCAGAACCCCCGCCAGCCTCTCGGCCGCCTCTTGCCACAACTCTGAATTGACCAAAAACTCAATAAAGTCCTCGATATGACTAGGGTCATACTTCAGGTACCTCCTGTAAACCCTCAAGGAGGTCTCGATTGGGATGCCCTTCTGGGAGACGAAAACCAAGTAGTATTCCCAAATCCGGTCGTGCTGAGTGACGGGGAGGGCGCAGAGGGCTCGGTCAAAAGTCCGGCGGGTCTTGGTGGTGATCTTCTGCTGGGTCAACGACTGCAGGTACATTATCCAAATCCGCGGCATCTTGTGCATCGTAGCTAGGGCTCGCTCGAAGGTGTTGTTCAGCGCCTCGTACTGGGAGTGCGTTATGGGCAAATTCCTCACGATCTCGAGGCGCTCGCGGAGGTAAGCGTGCCACAGCTTGTAGCTTCCGGGCAGAGCTTTGAGGGCGCGCTCGTATATAACCGCTCGCTTCTTGAAAGGGGATTCGCTCCGGGCGATTAGGTATCTCCACCATAGCTTAAGGCTATTGGGATTACGCAGGACCTCCTCCTCGTACAGGTAATCCTCCTCGCTTGGATACAGGTCTTGGGAAATGGACATTTTTTTGTAGCAGATGGATTGGAGATGAGGATTTGAACAACCAAGAAGAAGAAGAAAGGTGCTAAAACCCTATGATTTGAACAACCAACATTAAACTCGACCCACTCTCGTAATTACCTGTGTGGCCTTTTTTGCTAGCCTGGACAACATGGGATAATTGCACTTACCTTGGCGTAATCACGCAGTGTTATACATGATTCCGGCCCTTGGGCTTAACCTTGGCCCGCGATTAAAATTGAATGTGTGATGAGTTTGTTGGATAACTCAGTTCCGGAGGTAGGGCTGTGACCAAATTCATCCATACAATAACTACATTAATGAATGTTTTTTGTCCCTAAAATTTGTATTTTGTGACCTAAATAACCCTAATTTTGTTTTAAAAAAAAATACAAGATCAACTATGGAAATGGGTAATAGTCGCGGAATGAAACATCTTCGGTACTTTCTAAAAAAAAAACCGAAATGCATGAAGAAGCAGATGTAGAAGACAATAGCTCATGTGTCCTTTTCGTTTTCGAAGTTCTTTTACCTAAATTCAGTTGTGTCATTGTCGTCTACATATCTAATTGGAGAAGAAATATCGTTTAATT